TGTTGTGAGCTGACCACGGGACAACTGCCAGAATGCTACTTTATACCAGATTGCCACAAATATTGCGTTGTTTAATGCTAGTGCTCTTCCTACCAATGATATATGGGTCGTTGTACATGCCCCTATTCGTTGGACCGCCAGATTTACCAATTTGTCGCCGTGATCTTGGGGAGGGTCGTTCGCAGTGAGATTTACGCCCAGGACTGTGATGGCCACATCCTTAGGCTTCCAATCAACACTCGGAGCTTCTGGTGGTGGGTTGTTCTCATTGGCGAGCCACCACCCTTCCGTTTTTGTTCCCCAGTTGACTTTCATATCTGTTGCAACCTCAAACAGTCGAATCGTATATGCCAGTGCCTGAAAGGATGCCTGGTCAGCTTTGAACAGGACTGTGAGGTCATCGGCGAAAATGGATGTGATCGGGACAAGGTGAGGTGGTATCTCTTGAACATCTATTCTTTGAATGTCCGGGTTGGCCCGAATCATGGTCGCCAATGCTTCCATGGTTATGACAAAGAGCATTAGGGCGATGGGGTCTCCCTGCCTGACCGATCTCTGCAGCCTAAACGGGGGTGCCAGGTGTCCATTAATCATTATATTAGTGGTTGCTATTCTGTGGAATATATTCACCCATTTCCGGAATCTGGGACCAAAATTCATCTTTTGCAGGCACATTTCTATAAAGTCCCAGTCGACATGGTCGTATGCTTTTACAAAGTCTATTAAGAGGATCGCTGCATCAACTCGTGTTTGTCTCGCATATCTTATGGTCTCATTGACCAGAAGAATGTTGTCCTGAATATTCCTATATGGCATGAACCCAGATTGATCATGGTGGATGATGTTAGATAGGTGGGGTAAGAGTCTATTAGCCTAGACCTTAGCTACTATTTTGTAGGGGACAGGGAGAAGAGTCATCGGTCGGTAGTTTCGTATTTCTTCCCTATCCCCTTTCTTATATAGTAATGTTGTAACCCCCTGGCCTATCATTCCACCAAAGTTTTCCTCCGTATAGACTACATTCACATAGTGACTGAAGTCGTCTTGAAATGTGTCCCAAAAGTGAATCCAAAACTCCTTGGGGAAGGAGTCCAGTCCTGGTGTCTTTTCGTCATCCATATCTTGGAGGGTTTGTAACATCTCGTCTTTACGTATGGGTCCTTCCATGTCCTCCCTTTGTTTTGTGGAGAGCATGGATGGAAGAGCATTTATGAGGGTATCCCTGGCCGTGTGCAGTATATGGGGTTCATGTTGGTTGGCTTCGGATGTAAAGAGTCTTTGATAATATGATGAGGCATATTCAGCTATGCTGTAGGTGTTGTTTGCCGGCGGCTGGGAATTGTCAAACGAATGTTTGAGGGAGGCCACCGTGTTTTGTCTTCCTTTAGCTTTGGCTCTTCTGAAGAAGGCCGCTGTCATCACCCCATTAGCCGCATCCTTTGATATGCGTGCTTGAATTCGCCATTTTTGGGCCTGGGCATCCAAGTGCTCCTGCAGTTGGGCACGCATTCTTTGAAGGTTGTTAAATGTTTCCCTGTCCAGGGGGTTGTCTGTTAGGTGGTTATCCCATTCTTCCAGCTCGTCCAACAGGCGGTCCAAGGTTTCCTTTCTCTCCCTTGCATGTTTGATTGAGTACTTTTTCACTCTCTCCCAGAGTTGCGCGATTCCATCATTGAACCACTGGACCAGACTGCCCTCAGCCGGTTTTGAGACTGTCCAGTACGCCCAGAATTCTTTCACCAAGCATTGAAAAGTTGACAGTGTGAGAAGCGAGGCATTAAATTTGAAGAACCCTGGGCCTTTGGTAATATGAGAGTGAAAGGAAAGCCCCAACACCGTCATCCTGTGGTCGAAGGAATTACATGGCGAAATAGTGCAGATATCCGCTACTGTGAGAAGTCCTGCCAAGGCTTTGGCGGCCGACTGTTCGTAACAAGTCTTGGGGAGGCCCCCCTCTCAGATACGGAAGGGATGTGAGACACCAGTCATCATTTGATAAACCAAGAAGGATCTCATTTCTCATTTTCACTCACATTAAGAAGAAAAAAAAAAAAAAAAGTTAAAAAACGTTCTCCAAAAAGTTTAACAATCTAAAAAAAAAAAAAGAAAAAAAAAAAAGTTCAAAAGCGTTCTCCCAAAAGTTTAACAATCTCTACAAAGTCATGCACGCACACATACATACACATAGACCTTCAACCTGTACCTGCTGCTCATACCTGCTGAGCGGGAACTTAGTCATTGTGAGGCAGGATGCAGGTGGTTTGCCCCACGGTTGTCACGCGGGGATCCCCGGGGCCCAAGCCGGGGTAGGGGTTTCACCCCCGGACCCCCGCCGCGGGGCTACCCGACCTCCGCCCCCGCCAAAACACCCCCCCCCCTGCCCCAACCCCG